ACACACACACACACGACACACACACACGACACACACACACAAACACAAACACAAACACACAATCTCGGTCCAAGAGCCAGTGCATTCCCCGAGGAATAAAGACAGGCGACCATTGATGTCTGTCTACCAGGACAATGGGAAGTAGAAGACATATAACGAAGCTGAGGAACACCAACAACACGGAAATTCTGCTGGCGTCTTCAAGCTTGTGGATATTTCTAGTGCCCAATTGCAGCACTTTGAAAAGAAAGAAAAAAACGCAAAGAAAGGATGTCACTGAGAATCTCCTTCAAGCTTGAAGGATTGGTTCACCTCTTCTCACGTACCACAGTTTGACTGCTGCTATCTGCTGAGCTCAGGGCATACTGTCACAAAGAGACTTTCTTACTTATTTCTTGGACGTCATTGCAATCAGATACATCCAGGCGGGGCTGGAAATGCAGCCAAATGCATTTAATATAGACCTACTTTGAGCACGCCCTCAGAGCTATCAAACATGAGTTCGCAAGAGCAAAGCTGCAAATACGAAACGTCATTAACGTCTGAAACTGCATACAAAGAAACTTCAAAGAAACTTCAAAGAAACTTTTAAGAACCGAGCATAAAAAAGAGTAATAACAACGATCGGCGACCAAACACGCAACAGTGTCTGAATGCCGTTATTTGCACGGAAACAACAACAACACGCAGCCACTTGAATAGAGATTTCGCATCGGAAGTGTGAGACCCAAAAAAGGTATTAAACCAACCCCTGAATACAAATACTAAGCCTGCCACCAAGTTTCAAGTTTGCCGACATACTCGAATGAACCTTGGTCGAACTCTCAATGTGGTGGTTACTCACCGCTACACTGAACACGAAAGCCGAGTCCTTGCTTTTATTTCAAACAAGTTTCAAGTTATTATCAACCCCTTTAACCGCCAGCACACCGGACCATCGACAGCTGGGCATAAAATTTAATTTTCCGTGCCCAAACGAATCATCGTGGTCCTCGCCAGGCCGGCCGCCGGTACATCGAAGCGCAGCCTCCGCGTCCTTCGGCCGGCGTTTCGGTCGAGGGTTGCTTGAACTGGTGATTTAAAGGTGCGCTTCATCCTTATCAACAATCAATGGGAATGATCCCCACTTCATTCATGGACTGCTACTTTGTCTAGGTCCTCTATCGAGCGAGCTAACTTTCCGAAAGAGTCAGCGACTCAGCGCACAACATCTAGTCTAGGTGGGTTAGAGATCGTACCTGCCGCGGTTGGCCGCCATCACATGTGCTCCGTTGCCTTGATCAGGCGTTGAATAAACATGCCCAGCTCGTTATCAGCGTCCATATTCTAGAATCTGGAATGTAAGCACATATACTGAGGGTGTACTTGCACCATACCTTTTCCTGAGTGAATCTGACTGTAAATACGGCCCGACCTGGATGGATCTGACTGTCCAGGTCCAGAGCTTGGTATAAACTATCCTGGCGTGAGAGTGTCCCTATTCACAACACGGCGCACCCACCTTCTTCTGCACACAGCCATTCCTCCTCCCCATAATAACTCTCCCCCAGTCCACCTGCCGGCACTCCCATACATCTGCTTGCCCGACAGACAGGCCGCTGTTCCGACTGACAACAATGTCTACTCCTTTCAGTGTGTTGCCCTCCATCCTCACACTTATTTCACGCGCACAGCAGAATTATTGGGACACGACTCGGTTGCTGTAAGTTCCACTTGAATTGGCTGTCGTCTGCCACGTACCACGGTTTGACGTAATCAATCGCACGAAGCCTGTTCATGTACAGTCAATTGATGTCCCATTGGCTGTAGCAATTTGCCCAAAAGGACATCTGCAATTTCCACTGCAGGGACATCTGTGAGATAGTTCCACTCCAGGGACATCTGCGACTTTAGTTCCACTCCAGGGACATCTGCGAGATAGTTCCACTCCAGGAACATCTGCGAGTTAGTTCCACTCCATGGACATCTGCGAGTTAGTTCCACTCCAGGGACACTCCGGGGACATCTGCGACTTCCACTCCAGGGACATCTGCGAGTTCAGTTCCACTCCAGGGACATCTGCGAGAGAGTTCC